CAACACTAGTAGCATCCCTCAGGTACCAATATGAGATGTGATACAAAGACTGAGAACAAGAGATGAAATAGGGTTTTGAGATGAGATGATGCTGGTGAAGATGTTGATTGGGATGAGTTCTACCACAGTGAGAGGAATGTTGGTCATGATGAGGACTTCGATATCCCACTCCTGGAGGGAAGTTTCCCTTGGAGAATCGCTCTGCCAAAGAGCAGAAGTGCTCTGCCTCTGTTTCCGCCTCGAGACGGCAGCGGAAGGTCCCGAAAGTCTTCTTATTTATTTTCTAGGGTAAATGGCTTTATATAGGAGAAGAACATCGGGAGGTGACCTCCGTGGGCCCCATAAGCCCAGGTGGCGCGGCCTGGGGGTGGTCGTACCCTTGCACTTGTGGCCCACCGAGGCTCTTCTTTGGTATTTCTTTCTTCCAGTATTTTTTATATATTATAAAATAAATCTATGTAAAATTTCACTTCATTTTGAGCTTCGAAGAATTGTATTTTTGTTGTAGCTTTTTCAAGTCAGAATTCTAGCTGCCGCTAATCCCTCCCCTTTGATGTATCTTGCATTTTAAGAGAGAAAGGCATTAGAATTGCATCATAATATGAAATATAACTTGAAAATAAGATAAATAATGGTGGGAAATCGTGATGCAAAATGGACGTGTCAGGAACCTCTCCTGGTAATGACACCCACATTAACCAGCATTAGCGAGCAGTGATCCGAGATAGCAGAGGATTGTGGGAGTAGCTTGGCCGCGGTGAATATCAATTCCCATTCTACATTGCATAACGCTCGATCCAGTCTAACTAGCGTGGGCATAGCTTGCTCGTTGCTCCATGTGAACTTATGGCCGGTGAGAGGAATTTCATTAAGAATTGATCTGTTAAAAGTTCTCTTAAAATGATCCATTGATATGTCTCAAACGTATTTATAATTTTTGATTATTTCATGCTATTATATTATCTATCTTATATGCTTTATATGCACTTTATGTCATTTTTGGGAAGTAACCTATTAACTCAGTGCCCAACGATAGTTCCTGTTTTTGCCTATTTTATTGTTTTGTAGGAAAATCATACCAAATGAAGTCCAAACACGATTAAACTTTACGGTGATTTTTTCTAGACCAGAAGGGACCCTAGAAGCTTCAGGGGAAGACCAGACGATGCACAAGAGAGCCACAAGCTCCACCCAGACTTGTGGCCTCCTCGTAATTCCATTTGTCCTAATTCGAAGACAATAAATTCCCTAAAATCCAAAAACCACCAGAGCGAGACCCGAAACAATAATTCCGCCATCGCATGCCTCTGTTCTTCCGCGATCCATCTGGAGGCCTCCGTTGGTACTCTTCTGGAGGGGGAATTGATCACGGAGGGCCTCTACATCAACCTTACTGCCTCTTCGATGATGTGTGAGTAGTTCCTCACAGGACCTACGGGTCCATAGCAGTAGCTAGATGGCTCCCCCTCTCTCTGATTTTAGTATAATGTTCTCTTTAGAGATTGATTCGATGTAATACTTTTGCGATGCATTTGTTGGGATCCAATGAATTGTGGGTTTATGGTCAGATTATTCATTGAAAGTAACTGATTATTTTTTGAAATTTATTATGTGTTATTGTTGTAACTATGTAATGCTTTCTGGCCCATGAGTTTTCTTTGGCCAAGTTGATGAGTTGATCTTTAGTGGAAGTGGTGCATAGTAGTACGTTCGATCATGCGGTGTTCTCACCTCGTGACAGAAGGGGTAGGGAATCACGTGTTTGTATTATTGCTACTAAGGGTAAAACGATGGGGTCCAATCATATTGATTGGTCTTATTTTGTCTACATTATGTCATCATGCTTAAAGCATTACTCTGTTTATTATAAACTTAATACCTAGAGAGGAAAGCATAGAAGAGCTCTCGAAGTGGAGTAATAGTAGTACATGCAAAATCGTTTTGGTCTACTTGTCACGGACATAATGCCTATGTGTTGATCATGCCATGAATAACATCATAACTATGTGGTTTTCTATGAATTGCCCAACAGTAATTTGTGTACCCACAGTTGCGATGTTCTTGAGAGATATGCCTGTAGTGAAATCTATGGCCCCGGATCGCATTCACTTTATATTACTAAACCCTAAATACCTTGCTGCAATGTATTTACTTTTATTTAGTTTTGCAATTTATATGTCTATCACTATGATAATTAATCCTTGAATTAACGAGTACAAGGGGATTGACAACCCTCTTGCTTACATTGGGTGCAAGTATTTGTTTGTGCGTGTGCAGGTATTGATAGTTATTTGTGTGAATCTCTTACTGGTTCGATAAACCTTGGTTCTTCACTGAGGGAATACTTTCTGGTACTATACTACATCACCCTTCCTCTCTAGGGAAATCCCAACGCCTATCACAAGTAGCATCAATCCATCAGCGACACACTCTGACATTGTTTTTGTCCTATGGGTCTTTGGTAAGGTTGAAATCCCCTATTACTACCCAAGGACGCACGAGCTCCATGAGGAAAGCAGGCTTCCTATGATCATCCTACTCCACACAAGTTTGGATTCCTCCATACAAACTATGGAGTAGGATAATCTTTCGATCATAGCTCAGGTGGTCGCGCATCTAGCAAGTTTGTTAAGGCTCTCACATTCGAACTTAGAAGGGACATTTTTTCATTCATGGGAAACAAAGCGGGCAACAACACGATAGGCAGGAGTGGCGTAGGCCCCCAGCGATGGGATACAGATGATACGTCTCCAACGTATCTATAATTTTTTATTGTTCCATGCTAGTATATTATCTGTTTTGGATGTTAATGGGATTTATTTTACACTTTTATATTATTTTTGGGACTAACCTATTAACCGAAGGCCCAGTGCAAATTGCTGTTTTTTTGTGCCTATTTCTGTGTTTCGCAGAAAAGGAATATCAAACGGAGTCCAAACAGAATGAAACCTTCGGGAGCATGATTTCTAGAACAAACGTGATCCAGAAGACTTGGAGTGGACGTCAGGAAACAAACGAGGAGTCCACGAGGCATGGGGCGCGCCACCCCTCATGGCTCAACCGACCTACTTTTTCCTTCTATATATGTTCACATACCCCGAAAACATCCAGGAGCACCACGAAACCCTATTTCCACCGCCGCAACCTTCTGTACCCAAGAGATCC